ATTATGCAGTGTATTGATGAATATTGTACAAAATAAACGCTCCATATATAAAGTCATTTTCTGGGATTTGTACTTAAACTGGACGTTTATTATTCCTTGTCAGTCGGAGTGGCCAGGAGAGGAGAGTGAGGTGTGTGTGTGTCAGTAAGTTGAGCGCAGCACCTCCAGCAAGATGTCCTAAGATGTCAAGCTTTGACTTTGTAGCGATGTTTTTTTTTTTTTTTTGTAAGTTTATACCATAGATTAGTTTACTGGTTTAAGTGCTTGTTTCAAAAAATGCGATTTCTAATAATGATAGAGATCTCCAGTGAATACTAGAAAGGACTGCCCCTCTAGCATCCAGCCTGTTACTGGGTTTATGTAGCAAGTAGTCAGTATCCTGGTCCAATTATCCATTAGAATTTAGTAGTAAGATTCAATAGTGCTTCAGGATTACAACTGGTAGGCTACTAACTAAAGAAATTAAAATTTAAGAAGTTTATTAATAAAGATAAAGTTGTCTAGGTGGACAATATCAAAGTAAATCAAAGTAATCAATTTAACATAATATAGGATACAAGTTCCTACACTTCTCTCGTGTAGTGTTGTGCTGAAGACACATATCATATCTTTACGGCATTTAAGTACTGTCTGGTACATTGTTAGCTTTTAAGAACATAATACTAATATATACAAGAAAGTTTGTGTGTATGTGTGTAAGTGCTCTAAGTAGTTCACTATGTCTCAAGACTCAACTCGACTTAACCAGTGACTGACTAAAAGTCCTCACATAAACTAACTTCTTGACCAACCTGGCAATCAGAACAGCTTGCTTGAACAGTAAAACGACCGATTCGCCTAACAGCAATATAACAAGCAGCAGCAACACAGAATCAGGAACAAGGAGATAACATAACGACCTAAGTAGGGACCATCTGCAGATCCTCCACAAAAGTCACAAAACTCCCATACTACTGAATCTAAGTTCAGCATAAGAAAATCCCCGACTATGACGGTGCACAGATACCAGTACAAATTAGGTCAGAGCCTACACCTCAGAACCTGAGTTTCTCAGGGTGTCAGTGTGACACACAACCTCAGTAAAACATCCAAAATCACTAAGTCCAGGCTATGCTCTGTGAACAGAGTTACACAGAACTAACAAGAGAGAGCAACAGAGATGATGTTCCAACAAGGGCCAACAAGGGAGAGCTGGAGAGGGAGTTCAATTTGGAATCATCGTCCAACAGAGAGAGAGCTCCCGAGCAAGAGGCAAGGGAGTCTCCTCACCCAGGTGAGGTGTGAACACCCCACTCTGGTCACGTGGCTCTCCGTGGACTGCTGCTGCCCAGCAACTACAGAGAAGCCGGCAGCAAAACAAGCAAGGCAGTAGTTACAGTAGTTAGACAATACGGCAGCTACTTAACACTCTCGAGCAATGAGTACTGAATAAGGTGTAAATGTTACATCTTATCTAATAATATAACTAAGTCAAATAATATAAAGCATTATATTTACGATTTAGCTAATATTGCAAATATTAGCAATATAAAATTATGTGAACATGTAATATACATTATATACATTGTGATCCATTCAGGGGTCGCAGTAGTGCTCTCATGTTTACCTATAAGGCACTAGTGTTTGAGTTTTGGAAGAGTGCTTTTACAGCCTGCAGGTTGAGCAGCCTGCAGAAGGGGGGGGGGGGGGGGTGTCACAGAGCCTCTCAGTTTATAAATATTTACACAAATAACCCGCACGTAGAAGAGAGAAGCTTACGACGACGTTTCGGTCCGACTTGAACCATTTACAATACCGTTCCAGTCACGGTATTGTGCCTTTTTTTGTTATTTATAAATATTTGTTTTTTACTCACTAGTAGCAGTGTGCTAGTGAGCTAATGTAAGTACTGGGTAAAGGTGAACTGGAGTGTGGTCATGTTGGTTGTAGTAGAGTACATTGTACATTTTATATGTTACCTTAATATATATATTATACTTTTGAATAGGTGAGCTTTGTGTTCTTCCTCATAATACATAGACCATACAAACTTATGCTTTAAAATTTGTATAAAGGTAAAAGCTGTCCCTAGATTGGTTTATTTTTCAGTGTTAAACAATATAAATGCCCCTAAACTAGGCAGGTCGTTTACCCTTCAGAAGCCAGGACTCTCATTTATGTTATGTAGTCGAATAGCGTAACAGTACGACAAGTCTCTTAGAGCAGGGTGTGAGTGTACCTAGTAGCGACCAACAAAGAGGCTGGGCCAGAAACTACAGATCGACCCCTGAGACCACCAATACGTGTGTACACACACACACACACACACACACACACACATGGGAGGTCCCGAAACATGGAGAGCCAAGATAATGGATGTGGTACTGGAAAACCTCATGCACCAATATGTTAAGGACACTACCAGAGAGAGAGAGAGGGGAAGATGAACCAGCAAGACTGGACCTTGTGTTCACCCTGAGTAGCTCAGATATCTAGGACATCACATATGAAAGGCCCCTTGGAGCTAGGGACCACGTGGTTCTGAGCTTTGAATATATCGTAGAGCTACAAGTGGAGAGGGCAACAGGAGAAGAAAGGAAAAAGCCAAACTATAAAAGAGGGACTAAACAGGTATGAGGACCTTCCTGCAAGAGGTTCAGTGGGAAAGAGAGTTGGTAGGAAAGTCAGTAAACGAAATGGTGGACTTAATAACAACAAAATGCAAGGAGGCAGAGGAAAGGTTTGTTCCCAAGGGTAACAGAAATAATGGGAAGACCAGAATGAGCCCTTGGTTTACCCGAAGGTGTAGGGAGGCAAAAACTAAGTGTGCTAGAGAATGGAAAAAGCACAGAAGGCAAAGGACCGAGGAAACTAAAGAGATTAGTCAACGAGCCAGAAACGATTATGCACAGTACGGCAGTACGAAAACGACATAGCATCGAAAGTCAAGTCTGACCTGAAACTACTTTACAGCTACATCAGGAGGACGACAACAGTCAAGGACCAGGCAATGAGGCTGGGGAAAGAAGGCGGGGAGCTTACAAGAAACGATCAAGAAGTATGTGAAGAGCTCAACACGAGTTTTCAGGAAAGTATTTACAGTGGAAGCAGAAGGGACGCTGGAAAGACATAACAGAGGGGTACACCAACAAGGGATATACCAACAAGTGTTGGATGAAATACACACAACCGAGGAGGAAGTGAAGGAGCTTTATAATTGACCTTGATACCTCAAAGGAGGTGGGACCAGACATCTCTCCGTGGGTCCTTAGAGAGGGAGCAGAGACACTGTGTGTGCCACTAACCACAATCGTCAACACATCCCCTGAAACTGGGCAACTACCTGAGGTATGGAACACGGCATATGTGATTCCCATCTTTAAGAAAGGGGACAGAAACGAAGAACTAAACTATAGACCAGTGTCACTGACGTGTATAGTATGCAAAGTCATGGAGAAGATTATTAAGAGGAAAGTGGGGAATCACATGGAACAGAGCAAGGTTATAAACGGCAGCAAGCACGGATTCATGGAAGGCAAATCCTGTGTCACAAACCTATTTGAGTTTTATGAAAAGGTAACTGAAATAAGACATGAGAGGGAGGGGTGGGTCGATTGCATTTTCTTGGACTGCAAGAAAGCCTTCGACACAGTTCCTAACAAGAGATTAGTGCAGAAACTAGAGGATCAGGTACTGCAATGGATCAGGGAATACCTGACAGGGAGGGAACAGCAAGTCATGGTACACGATAAGGTATTACGGTGGGCGCCTGAGACGAGTGGGGTCCAACAGGGGTCACGGGTCACTACTAGAATCAGCGCTATTCTTGGTATATGTGAATGATATGACGGAAGGGATAGACTCAGAAGTGTCTTTATTTGCAGATGATGTGAAGTTAATGAGGAAAATTAAATCAGATGAGGACCAGACAGGTCTACAAAGAGACCTGGACAAGTTGGATGCGTGGTCGAGCAACGGGCTCCTAGAATTTAACCCTGCCAAATGCAAAGTCATGAAGATCGGGGAAGGGCAAAGAAGACTGCAGACAGAGTATAGGCTAGGCTGCCAAAAACTGCAAATCTTTCTCAAGGAGAAAGATCTTGGGGTGAGTACAATACAGAGCATGCCCCAGGAAGCACACATTAACCAAATAACTGCTGCGGCATATGGGCGCCTGGCAAACCTGAGAATAACGTTCCGATACATCCGTAAGGAATTATTCATGACTCTTTACACTGTGTACGTCAGGCCCATGCTGGAGTACGCAGCACCAGTTTGGAACCCACACCGGGTCAAGCACGTCAAGAAATTGGAGAAAGTGCAAAGGTTTGCAACAAGGCTAGTTCAAGAGCTAAGGGGACTGTCCTACGAAGAAAGGTTAAGGGAAATCGGTCTGACGACACTGGAGGACAGGAGGGTCAGTGGTGACATGATAACGACCTACAAAATACTGCCTGGAATTGATAAGGTGACAGAGACAGGATGTTTCAGAGACTGGACACAGAAACAAGGAGTCACAATTGAAAGCTGAAGACTCAAATGAGTCATAGGGATGTTAGGAAGTATTTCTTCAGCCACAGAGTTGTTAGGAAGTGAAACAGTCTGACTAGTGATCTAGTGGAGGCAGGAACAATACATAGTTTCAAGACGAGGTATGATAAAGCTCATTGAGCAGGGAGAGTGAGGACCCAGTAGCGGTCAGAGAAGAGGCGGGGCCATGAGCTGAGTCTCGACCCCTACAACCACAAATAGGTGAGTACAGTGGACCTACGAGTACTAGTGAATCGGTCAACTTATGACAAGAGTATTCGAAAACATTTTTCTTTGAGTGAGAAGTCTAACAACAGCACCAAGAACACGAGAACAAAAAGTTCAACAAGAGAGAGGTCTTGGGATTAATAATGTCGCCAACATACGCCAGTTATTTCCTTCGTGCACTGATGAATTATGTATCGAAAATTCACTAACATATTACACTGAACTTTTCCAACACCACATTTTATCCTTGTACTTCTTCTCAGGGCCGAAGGAGTTGTGGGGTTGTCGCCACACTTTGGCACTACTGGGGTTTCTGGGACTGTCTCTGGTGTACGCCATGCGGGTCAACCTCTCCGTTGCTATTGTTGCTATGGTGAAAGAAAACAACACTGCACACTACAACAATACATCCGATAACGATGGGTGCCCAGTACCAGACGATTACGATGATAACGACTCCGGAAACTATGTGAGTAAACCAATGTTGCTTACCAGAATGCGAATTAAGTTAATTAAATTAATATATATTTCGTGCCGAATAGGTAAAACTGGTCAATTAGCAAGAACTCATTTAATATTAAGCACTTTCTAAAATTTTCTCTTATACGTTTAAAGAAATTTTTTTTCATTAATGTCACTATGAAAATTAATAATTTTGTAACAAAAGAACCTTAGAAAACTTACTTAACCTTATCATAAAAAGTACAGTTTAATTTATCCTAATCAAGCAAAATAAATTTTTGACAAGTTTTCTATAATTTAATAATAAACAGTGAAATATATCTTTTTCATTAGATTCAGAATGATTTTTGCAAAATTATTGCATTCATAAATTTCCGCTTGCCTTATTCGGCAAGAACACCGTTGCCATTTAAGGTAAAATCGGAAGTTTTATCTATTCGGCACGAAAATATATATATATATATATATATATATATATTTATTAAAATATATATATATATATATATATATATTTATAATAATATATATATATATATATAAATATATAAAATATATATATATGTCGTGCTGAATATGTAAAACTGGTCAATTAGCAAGAACTCATTTAAAAATTTTCTCTTATACGATTAAAGATATATTTTTCTTGTTAATGTTAATATAAAAATTAATAATTTTACTCCAAAAGAATCTTAGAAAACTTACCTAACCTTATTATAACAAGCACAATTTATTTTAGCCTAACCCAATTGAATATATTTTAGATTTGTTTGCAATAATTTAATACTAAACAAACACAGTGAAATACATTCTTTTCGTTAGCATCAGAATGATTTCGGCGAAATTATTGCATACACAAATATTCGCTTGTCCTATATGGCAAGATGTGCATTGCTATTTAAGCCAAATAAAAAATTCCAAGCGCATTCGTGACTACTCACATTGTAAGGAACTATGAAATTAATACAACAAAGGAAGGGATATGAAGTGTCTAGATCACACCTCACAATCATATCCCACAACAAAGAAACACCTGACGCACTGCAATACCCGACTCATAAGAAAAGAGGAACACTGCAGTAGGTCCGCTGGCCCAACTAGACAGGTCCCCCCGAAAACCCCACTAATAAAAAACAAAACATTCCCAATTGTCCTCAAAGATTCTTAAAGTCTTATGATACACTTAATAATAATAAAAATTTACGCCTTACCAAAGCAGATCAAATAAATGCAATAGTAATTATGAAAGAAAATGATTACCAAGAAAAAATTAATAATCTCTTAGATGATACTGAAACCTATTCTAATTTAAAGGAAGAAACCCTTAGAAACCGTTAACAAAATTTCAATAAAACAATAAAACTTTACTGAAAGGCAAGATGAATTAATTAAATAATTTACTTCCACTAATCTATCTTTGCCTTACATGTATGGCAAATAAAAACCACACAAACCAGGTAATCCAATCAAACCAATTATTAGCTCCATAGGACAGTTTCGTATAAATTATCCAAATGGCTTGTCGACATTTTGAGCCCTATTGTTGGTAAAATTTCTAACTTTAATGTTAAAAACAACATAGATTAGTTGATAAATTAAGCTCCTTGACTGACTTAAATGATTTCAACATGGTTAGTTTTGATGTTACTTCCTTGTTTACAAAATTTCCCAGTTGATGATTTATTAAGTTTCTTATCTGAAGAACTTGTTAATTATGATTTACCATTGCCAGTTCCTACTATCATTTAACTTATTAAACTTTGCATTGTTGATGCAAAATTTGTATTTAATGATAAGTTTTACACTCAGAAATTTGGTATGGCAATGGGAAATCTTCTTTCACCTGTTCTTAGTAATCTATACATGGAATTTTTTGAATCAAGGCTGCTTCACACAATCCTAACTAAGAGAACTAAATGCTTCACTGGGGGGAAAATGCTGTCATGGATCGAGTCATGGCTCACTAATAGGAAGCAGAGAGTGTGCATATATGGGGTTAAATCTGAGTGGGGATCTGTAACAAGTGGTGTTCCACAGGGATCAGTCTTGGGTCCGTTGTTGTTTATAATATATATCAATGACCTTACACAAATAACCCGCACATAAAAGAAAGAAGCTTACGACGACGTTTCGGTCCGACTTGGACCATTTACAAAGTCACACTAACCAGAAGTGGGGCAGGACGGCTATATATAGGCAGGAAGAGGTGGTGGTAATAGTAGTAGTAGTAGTAGTACAAGAATGGTATATAATGCCGACAAGATGAAATTAAGACACATGCGCAACACCCGGGCATCAAACTGTCTTACAACAAACAGCATTATTTGTTTCCCATGCACGTTAATTAAGACAGATGTGGGTATGTGCACTGCATAAATCCAGTGTTTTCCCTCATTTTCACCTACAGTCTGGCCTCTTCTCCCTCCCCCGTGATGAGGGGGTTGGCGGAACTGACTGGTCACACTTCCACGCTATTCTCAACACTACACTCTATTTCCCCAACACTTGTCTCTAATTATTTCATACATCGACACGTATTCATTTCTAAGTCATTTCGAAGTCCAGACGTACATGCATAGGGGTCCTGATCAGCAGAATGCATGTACCTGTGAAGGTGTTTTCACAAAATACAACTTCAACAACAAGAACATCAACTGGGACCAGGTAAACCATGTCCTAAACGAAACATGTTGGGAAGATGTCTTAAATGACATGGATCCAAACCAGTGCCTTGAAAGAATCAACTTCCTGGTAGCCGAAGCATGTTCTAGGCATATTCCCCTAAGAAAGAAGAAGAGCAGGAGTAAACTGGAGAGAAAAAGACGCTCCCTCTGCAGAAGACGACGAAGAGTCACTGAGCTCCTCAGGAGTGCTAGAATATCTGATACACGAAAGGAAGCGCTGACCAGGGAAGTGGAAACTATCGAACTTAAGCTAAATGACTCTTACAGACCAGGAGAGGCAGGAGGAGCTTAAAGCTATTAGTGAATTTGAAAGAAATTCAAAATATTTCTTTTCATATGCCAAAAACAAGGCAAATACCACATCTAGTATGGGGCCCTTACTCGGGACAGGAGGGGACTTTACACAGATGACAACAAGGAAATTAGTGAAATATTGAAATCCCAGTCGACTCTGTGTTTAGTGAACCACAAATCGGTCTGAGGATCGACGACAAATGATTTCTTCATTGATGAGCCTCAAACTCCATAAATGTATGCCAGATTTTCCGACATTACCCTAACTCCGATAGATTTCGAAAAAGCCATTGACAACATGCCTATGCCTCGCCCGGCCCAGACTCGTGGAACTCTGTTTTCATTTAAGAACTGCAAGAAACCCCTCTCGCGTGCCCTAAGTTCATTATGGAGGAGGAGCTTGGACATGGGTTAAATTCCACAGTCACTTAAAACAACGGATATATCCCCACTCCATAAAGGTGGCAGAAAAGCATTAGCTAAGAACCCTATAGACCAATAGCTCTGACGTCCCCCATCATAAAAATCTTTGAAAGAGTGCTAAGAAGCAGGATTGCAAATCACCTGGTTTTCCAAAATCTGCACAATCCAGGGCAACATGGTTTCAGGGCAGGTCGCTCCTGCCTCTCACAACTACGGATCGCTATGACATGGCCTTGGATGCACTGGAAGATAATCAGAATGCAGATGTAATATACACAGACTTTGCAAAAGCATTTGACAAATGCGACCATGGCGTAATAGCCATAAAATTTACGTGCTAAAAGAATAACTGGGAAAGTGGGGAGATGGATCTTCAACTTCCTAAAAAATCGAACACAAAGGTAGTGGTCAACAGAGTTAAATCGGAGGCTGCCATAGTGAAGAGCTCTGTTCCACAAGGCACAGTACTCGCCCCCATCTTAAATTTCCCTTTTCCTCATATCAGACATAGACAGAGATATACACCACAGCACCGTATCATCCTTTGCGGATGATACTAGGATCTGCATGAGGCTGTCATCTGCTGAGGACGCGGTTAAAACCCCCAAGAAGTTATAAACAAAGTTTTCAGTGGGCAACGGTAAACAATATGATGTTCAATGAGGACAAAATTCCAACTACTCCCTTATGGAAAACTGGAGGAGATAATAAAATAGACAGAGTTTACAACCCAAAACCCCGGGCCCTACAATAGAGCGGAAAAATAATGTAAGGGGCCTGGGAAATAGTAATGTTGAGGATCTCACTTTCAAGGGTCACAACAGTGCCACGATCGCACGTGCAAAGAAAATGATAGGATGGATAATGAGAACTTCCAAAACGAGAGATGCAATCCCATGATGATCCTTTTCAAATCACTTGTTCTCTCTAGGCTGGAATACTGCTGTAAATTAACATCTCCATTCAAAGCAGGTGAAATCGCAGATCTAGAGAGTGTACAGAGATCCTTTACTGCACGTTAAAATTCTGTCAAGCACCTTAAATACTGGGAACGCTTGGAAGCACTTGACTTGTACTCGTTTGGAAAGCAGGAGGGAGAGATATATCATAATCTACACTTGGAAAATCTTGGAGGGAATGGTCCCAAATCTGCACACAGAAATCACTCCCTACGAAAGTAAAAGACTGGGCAGGCGATGCAAATGCCGCCCAAAAAAAAGTAGGGGCGCCATTGCTACACTAAGGGAAAAACACCATAAGTGTCCGGGGCCCAAAACTGTTCAAACAGCCTCCCATCAAGCATTAGGAATTGCCAATAAACCCCTGGCTGCCCTTTAAGAGGAGTGCTGGACAGATACCCGAAGTCAGTGCCGGGTCAGCCGGGCTGTGGCCGTACGTTGGACTGCGTGCGGCCAGCAGTAACAGCCTAGTTGATCAGGCCCTGATCCATCGGGAGGCCTGGTCATGGACCGGGCCGCGGGGGCGTTGATCCCCGGAATAACCTCCAGGTAACCTCCAGGTAAGCATGGCTCATGGTACTGGAAGCAGATGTGTTTAAAATTTAAAGGGTTTTTGAGGTTTGTATATATGATAATCTTGGCCCACTACCACCACTCATCAACCTCCACACTAACTGCACAACACTTCCACTACACTGAAATCCTCACAAAGTATTCACAGAGTCCTGTTCAGTCTGATCTGGTCAGCCTCTTTGTTTAAGAGTTATCCTTCAGGGGAATAATAATTCTATATTAGTGGACATAATATCCATATCCAATAAACTACGTGTAAAAATACAAAAAAAAAATAAATACCTCCTTGATATATTAAGCACAATGTTTAAAAATTTATAAATTTGTATGCTTGATTATAGAGACAAGGTATGGGGAAGAACTCATCCGCAGAATGGGGGAGTTCGACTGGGACGACAGTACTCGCGGCCTCATCCTGGCTTCGTTCTTCTATGGATACACCTTGACTAATTTTGTGGGAGGGCGGATGGCGGAGTACTTGGGCGGAAAGATTGTGTTTGGCACAGGCATCTTTCTCACCGCCATCCTCACACTCCTCTCTCCCGTATGTGCCAGGGCCTCCACCACACTCTTCATTATTATCAGAATCTTAGAGGGGTTCACGGAGGTAAGACTCTCTCAGTGTACAGCTGATCAGACTAATATTACTAATAATTTCTCTAAAATATTACTAATAATATTGCTAAAATTCTTAATTTAAACTTTAAATCTTGTCTTTTAACCATTATTGTTCATACCTTATATTGTTTTAATTTCAGCTGTGTACTGAATAAATTTTTATCTGAAGAATAAGACACATATGCAACACATGACTATTTTAATTGTCAAAATTTTTGCCTGCAGAGAAGGTTTCTATAGGCATTTTTGTCTGAAGAAGGCTGCTGTGATGGCTGAACGTTTCGACACTGTAGATACCCAAGTGTTGCACATGTGGCTTATTCATCAACTTCCCGGTGTTGTATTCTATTAATTTAAAATATTTGTCTCTTCAAGGGTGTAACTTTTCCAGCAATGAACTTCATGCTGGCTTCCTGGGTGCCACAAGCTGAACGGCCCAAGTTCTCCACTTTGGTGTATACTGGTATGTAACACTCGTCTTTTTTTTCTAGTTATATATATGCCTTTAAAGATTGACAGTAATTGCGTGGAAATGATGTGGTAAAAAATTTTTTGCTCATCTCTGCATTTCCTCATAAATGTGGAAATGCGAGCAAACCAAAAAATGTTGGGTATAAAAACCATTCAGAACAGAAATCGTTCAACGATGTAGTTAAGTTCGCATTGTAAATGGCCTCTCAAGGGCATTGATTGTCCCTCTGAGAAGTTTATCTTAACAGGTGCAACTTCCTTTTAACAATTGCATATCTACTTATTCGCAATATTAGCCAAGTCAATTAATATAATTAGAAATGTATAAATATTTTTTAAAATAACATTATATGAAGAACCAGCGTTCAAGCAGCAACTTCCCCATCAACTCCCAACAAATAACACAATGTTCCTGGTAGTGAGAATGCAGGAAATAATTGATGCAAAAAGAAAATATGAAATTGAAAATGTAAATCAATAAAAAACAATAATGCTCTGTAGACATAAGAACATAAGAATGAAGGAACACTGCAGTAGGTCTACTGGCCCATGCGAGGCAGCTCCAAGTCACCTCTCGGCTTAAACCAATGACCCACCTAGTGAGGTCAGGTCACATCCACTTAAGGAAGGAGCGCGGCACCAGACTAGTCGGGTTCAATTCACACCCACCCACACCTACTCATGCATTTATCCAACACATTTATAAAATTACGCAACGTGATTCTTGTAAAGTAAAAGGACACAAGTGCAACTAATGAGACATTTATTGTGGCAACGTTTCGCTCTCCAGGAGCTTTATCAAGCCATTAATGGTAATGGCTTGATAAAGCTCCTGGAGAGCGAAACGTTGCCACAATAAATGTCTCATTAGTTGCACTTGTGTCCTTTTACTTTACATATTCTCGGTAATTCTACCAACTTTATTACAACGTGATTCTTGTTGGTAAGAACCAAATCAAGCAGACTGTTTCCTCTAGTTGGTTCTGTTATATACTCTTTTGAAAAGCAATCCTGAATCGTTACAGGAAAGTCACTAGACTCAAGATTTTCTATCATAATGTTCCAATCAATTTGTCTAAAGTTAAATTCTCCCATTAACACGACATTTTCATGTCTAGATGCCTTATGAATTTCGTCCCATAGCAGCTTACTGTACTCCCTATCAAGATTTGGGGCCTATAAATCACACCTATGTTATGATTAGGTCAGTAACCCAGATGATGTGCCACATTGTCGATTCCGTGGACTAAACATTGGAAACATCAAATAAAGATCTAGAATTTTTTTTAAATAAGCATAAAAGTACAGTGATAATCTTGATATGGAGGAAATGTTGCTATGTGAAGAAAATGTGTAGCTAAAAAAATAACGAATATTAATACGAAATAACAGAATGTTTGGATGGAGTGACGATATTGCCAGCAGTGATGCATCTAGGCATCTTGAAATATTGAAATTTGTCTCCAAATCTATAAAATCCAGAGAATTCAATGAGCTACAAAGGTTTGAATGAATATAACAAGATTTTTGTGCTGTTGGGTAGGTAACAAAAAAATATGATATGCGACAAATGCCTCTACAAATCAAGAGTTGATTACGAGCCCCTTTAACTTACTTAGACGATGCTAAAATGTTAATTAATAACGACTCAAGTGATACTTATCAGTTTTTCACTATACTGAAAATTACATATTATTTTCCACTTAATTACTGAAAATATGTATAAACGTTTAGGTAAATGAATTATTTAACAGGACTCACTCACTAATTCATGGTATAAAATTAAAAAGAAATTTGTATGTAGGTATTACTTTCGTGAAAAGATCATAAGCAGAAATCGAAAGAAATGGAGTTTCTCAAGCAGATGAGAAAACCTCCCGTATGTTGTTATAATTATAAAATTGGTATAATATCGACACGTAGATGAGTGAGACACAAGTGCAATAGTTAGGTATATTTACCATCGAAATGCGTCGCTTGCAGAATAGGCTTCTTCAGTCAAATAGAGAGAAGCTGCCTTCTCTGCTTTCGACTGAAGAAGCCTGCTCTGTAAGAGAAACTTTAAGACATTAAAAATACCTAACCGATTTACAGTATTACAGAATGGATATAAATTCTCTGGAAAATGTACAAAGGAGGATGACAAAGTTGATCCCATGTATCAGAAACCTTTCCCCATTTAGGATAGACTAAGGGCCCTGAAACTGCACTCTCTAGAAAGACGTAGAATTAGGGGGGATATGATTGAGGTGTATAAATGGAAGACAGGAATAAATAAAGGGGATGTAAATAGTGTGCTGAAAATATCTAGCCTAGACAGGACTCGCAGCAATGGTTTTAAGTTGGAAAAATTCAGATTCAGGAAAAGGGTATAGGAAAGTACTGGTTTGGTAATAGAGTTGTGGATGAGTGGAACAAACTCCCAAATACCGTTATAGAGGCCAGAACGTTGTTAGCTTTAAAAATAGGTTGGATAAATACATGAGTAGATGTGGGTGGGTGTGAGTTAGACCTGATAGCTTGTGCTACCAGGTCGGTTGCCGTGTTCCTCCCCTTTAAATCAATGTGACCTGACCTGACTAGGTTGGGTGCATTGGCTTAAGCCGGTAGGAGACTTGGACCTGCCTTGCATGGGCCAGTAGGCCTTCTGCAGTGTTCCTTCGTTCTTATGTTCTTATGTTCTTATGTCTTACTCATCTACGTGTGCAGTATTCAACAGAAGATGGGTTGTCAGATATTTGTTTCAGCATTTATTCATCACTGGATCAAAACTAGTAGATTTATCATTAGTCTCTCCTTTTTTTAAACACTTCTACCCCATGACCAGATAAATAAATGCTGTCGAAGGTACTCACATAGTTGAGAGATAAAACAGTAATTCGTCTAAATTTTAATGAGTTGCATATATAATGCAATTACGGCTGTTGAGGTGAAAATTTATGAAAAACACTGAAAAATTTCGAAGAATGTCACTACAGAACAAGTATCATAGCATTAATGTTATTCATTACTGACAAGTTGTAGATTTAGATTTAAATGTACACCTGGGAATTTTTATTTTGTAGACATTTCGCCAACCAGTGGCATTATCAATACACTACAAGGAAAAAAAGTAAGATAAGAAGGTTATGAGTCCTTTAGCCTTACAGAATAATATACAATAGACAATATAAAATGAGATAATCAGTTCTTCAGCCAAGCAACAGGTGTTCAGTGCCGTAGTGTGGATGAATATGAAGCACAGGCGGAGTCAGAAGAGATGCGGCAGATGAAAGGCATTGTCAGTGAAAGCGGAACACTCCAGTGTAAGTCGTGTATGCCTAAGAGTTGTGCCAGAGGAAGTCATCAGTAGTCCAATGGTGTTGATGGTATGACAAGTATTATAACATCGCCGGTACACAATACCGATAAGTTGAAAAATTACACAAACGTGTAGTGAATGTGTAAAACATTCTATCTATTAGGAACATTGAACCTAAAAGCTTGGGTAGATTTAAATTTAGGATAGATATATACATGAGTGAGAGGGGGTTGGAGTTGAGTGGGACTTGCACTTGAGTTAATAGGGTTATCAAAGCATATTCTTTGGTTAGCATTGATAATGGGTTGGGTGAACATTTTTATTGGGTTTGGGATTGACCTGTCATGTATGGGCCAGTAGGCCTGCTGCAGTATTCCTTCTTTCTTATGTTCTAACATCTGGACATCTTTATATAGAAGATGTTCCGCCAACCCTTGTCTTTATCAATACAGAAAACAAACAAAGACAGAAGATTGAGAAAGAGGACATAAACATATCAGAGTTTTATTTAAAAATCTTGATCAATAAAAAAAAAACTTTTGATAAAAATATCCCCCCAAAATGCTGACGGATGTGTCTCTAAGATGAAAACAACATAAATATAGTATTAGAACTGGACAAGATTCTAATTCTCTGTTTATTCATGTGAGAGATTTTACCATTCAATTGATTTTGAAAAGGATGAGAAAGTTGTATCAAGCAAGTTCATGGTCGACAGGAATGTAATTGAATCATGTTTCATAAAAAGCGGGTTTGAAAATAATATGAATTTTTCTTGTGGTTTATATAAATTGGACTCATTTATAATTTATTGATGCAGTAGACAAGTGAAAAATCTTAATGCTTGGGTAGAGTATCAGGTGTGTTTCACAAGGTTGGGTGCTGTCACGTGACTGTAAGGTGTAGTCTTGTTGTTGTGACATGATTGTGAGGTGTAGTCTTGCCCCATTAAATGCCTTCCTGTTGATGTTTTATTTTTTGAAGTTCCTTGATAATGTGAGAAGTCACGAAATCGCTTGAAATTTTACTATTTTTTTCACAATCGTTGTTTTGCATATTGTGATATCACCTGTTTACTGTATTTTATTACATATGCATATATATATATATATATATTAATATATATATATATATATATATATATATATTATATATATATATATATATATATATATATATATGTCGTGCCGAATAGGCAGAACTTGCGATCTTGGCTTAAATAGCAACGTTCATCTTGCCATATAGGACAAGTGAAAATTTGTGTATGCAATAATTTCGCCAAAATCATATATATATATATATGTATATATATATATATATATATATATATATATATTATATATATATATATATATATATATATATATATATATATTATAATATATATATATATATATATATTATATATATATATACATTAATATATATATTATATATATATATATATATATATATATATATATATATATATATATATATATATATGTCGTGCCGAATATGTAAAACTGGTCAATTAGCAAAAACTCATTTAAAATTTAGTCCTTTCTAAAATTTTCTCTTATACGTTTAAAGATATATTTTTTCATTAATGTTAATGTAAAAATTTATAATTTTGCACCAAAAGGAACTTAGAAAACTTACCTAACCTTATTATAACAAGAGCAATTTATTTTAGCCTAACCCAACTAAAT